TCCAGTATTTGGCAAATTTTGATACTATTTTGGTTTTTGGACCATATCTTGAGTTGTAGAACTCCTTTAGTTGTGATTCTTGATTTGTAGGAAAGCTAAGAGAAAGGTTCACAATTCCTATGAAGAGGTCAAAAACCAATTCCGATGATAAGAAGTTGAAACAGGGCCTGGAAAAAGTCAAAACGCTGCAGTCGCGGATCCTGAGTAAGGTGCATTATTTGGGCCACATCTCAGTCCACAGATGTCCGATTAAGCCCATTCCAGTGGCGTTTTGAAGCTAACATCCAAGGCTACAATTGTCCTACAGGCCACGATCCAAAAAGAGGCCGTCTTCATAGCCGAAAAAAGGGAACAAAGTGACAAACGGAATTTTGAATTTTGAATTTTGAATTTTAATTTGTTTTAGGCTCCTCTCCTCTCTTCTTCTTCTCTCTTCTCTTTCTCATTTTTTTTCTCCCCTTTTACGACTTGTTTCCCTCTATCCATGGAGGCTTAGATTTTCATCTAGTCCAAGGATTGAAAGAGGGCTGAGACACTCTTGAGGATCAGTTTCGTAATTTATTCAACAACAAAATCGGTTTCATCTCTTCCTTCTTTCTCCTTTTGCTAATTATGATTTCGAATTGAAGTTCGGTGCTTATCGTCTTGATTACCTGAAAAATGAATGTAAGGGTAGGTGAGTACTCTACACTACCAAAACATGCAATCAATCATAGAATCTCACCTTTGAATCATTAAAAATGCATTAAATCAGATATAATCACAGTCAGCATTTAATTTCATAATCAACAGCATATGATACCGGCACTTATACGCCCTATTTACAACATCACGGCACGTTATACCGGCATTAACACGCCTCATCATAGTATTTCATACCGGCGATTACTCGTCCCATTCACATTATTTTATACCGGCAATTACTCGCCCCATTCACATTATTGTACACCGGCGGCTACATGCTCCATTCACATTATTGTACATCGGCGACTACCCGCCACATTCACATTATTTTACAATACACGGCACTAGGTCCACATTCATTTATAATACATTGCACATAGTCTACATTCATTGGCACCACACGACACATACCCTATATTCATTTGCTCTACACGGCACATAGCCTACATTTATTTACCAATCAATGGCATATCCACACGTATAATCACCCTCCACAGGTCTAGCTAATCCATTACACATCACGTTTCATCTTATATTCATACTCTCATCCATACACCTAATATTCACCAGTCCCGGCACAAGGCCCTCGTCACATCCCACCATCATTTCACATTTCCCATACATTTTCTACCTCTAACTCAACCACATTTTCATATTCAATCGCATAAATAACAATTCATGCATATTGAGATAGGGTAAAGTCCCCTCTTACCTTGGATTGAAGACCTACTCACGGATTCGACCCTGGAAACGTTCCTCGCACAAATTTTGGCCTAAACACACGGGTTAATTCTGTGAGAACCCAAAAAATCACCCAATAACAGAGAAAGGGGAGGAAAAACGAAATCCTAACCATTAAAACTCACCTCCAAGCGTCCCCAACATGGATCCAATCTTCAATCTAACTCACGAACGACTTTGGAGGAAATTTAATCGGTGGGGAAGGGTTTAGGGTCGAGAGAATCGAAGAGATTTAGGAGGGAATTTGAGAAATAACCCTCAAATCCCTAAACCCCTCTTTTAAAACCCCTATGATCGCGACATTCTCGCTACAACGATAATTCTTGTTGTAGCGACGCCCTCTGTTGCCACAGCAAAAATCTTAGATGAAACTGCATCATGATTTTTGCAGAATCTCGCTATAGCAAGACCCTTTCGCTACAGCGAGTCTGCATCCAAAAATGCAGTTCCCTCTGTCGCTTTTTCACCACAGCAAGAATATCTCGCTACAGCGAGAAGGCAATAGTTTCAATCATTTTCTTTCCAGGGCCCTCTCGCTACAGCGAGATTCTCTCGTCACAGTGAGGACACTTTGCACTTAAGCTCTCAGCTTATTTGCAGTCCAACTCAGTCACACACACACACATATACACTCAACACCTTTATTACGCAGTCAAATGCAATTACCTCATTCCCATTTCATCATTACGCACCTAAGTGCAATTCTGACATCCATTCAATCCGCATACACGTATAAATACCGATAATTAGGAGACAGCTTTTGGGATTTCAAAGCTCTCCCAACTCTGGTCATAGGTGAGACCTTTAGAAACACATGGTCACCCACCTGAAACTCCAATGACTTCCCTCTCCTATCATAATAACTCTTTTGTCGATCCTGGACAACTTTCATTTTCTCTTTGATCATTTTGATTTGCTCATTCTGCCTTTGAATCATATCCAGTGCACACATAGACGCCTCTCCAGTTTCATACCAACACAACGGAGTTGTGTACCTCTGTCCATACAATGCCTCAAATGGTGCCATTCCAATACTTGCATGGTAACTGTTGTTGTACGTGGATTTCACTAGCGGTAGGCACTCCTCCCAAGTTTCCTGCTGCTCGAGCACACAAGCCCTCAACAAGTCCTCAAGGGATTGGATGGTCTGCTCAGTCTGACCGTCAGTCTATGGATGGTAAGCTGAGCTCAGTCTCAACTTAGTTCCCAACTCCCGTTACAGGCTCTCCCAAAACCTCGAGGTAAACCTCGGGTCCCTATCTGACACCACACTAGTTGGCACTCTATGCAGCCTGACTATCTCTTGCACATATAGCTCTGCAAGTCTTTCCAATTTATACTTCATGTTAGTCGGGAGAAAGTGTGCAGCCTTGGTCAATCGATCCACTATCACCCAGATGGCATCATGGTTGTTCCTGGTTCTCGGCAATCCAGAAACAAAGTCCATGGAAATGCTATCCCACTTCCATTTAGGGATTTCCAATGGTTGCAACAACCTAGGTGGACGCTGGTGTTCTACCTTTGCCTTTTGGCAAGTCAGGCATCTAGCCACATATTCAGCCACATCCCTCTTCATACCATTCCACCAAAAAATCTTTCAGAGATTCTAATACATTTTAGTTGCATAGGGGGTGAAAACTCATCCTACTCTTATGCGTTTCCTCAAGCACCATCTGTCTCAGCTCATCCACTTGAGGAATGTACACTCAATTTTGGAACTTAATCACCCCGTTCTCATCACGGTGGAACTCCAATTCCTTTCCTTCATCTTTCTGCCTCATCATATCCTGTAGGAAGACATCTCCCTGTTGGGCATCTCGGACATACACCATGAAGTCATTATAAATTGTTGTTACTCGGAGATATAAACTCCCTGGCCTCACTTCCATGGCCAAATTCATGTCTCGAAATTCCTCAATCAACTCCATCTCTTTTACCATCATTGCTGCCATATGCAATGATTTTTGACTTAGAGCGTCGGCCACTACATTTGCCTTGCCATGATGGTAAGACAATGCAAAGTCATTATCCTTGAGGAATTTGATCCATCTCCGCTGCCGCATGTTCAGCTCCCTCTGGTCAAACAGGTACTTCAAACTCTTGTGGTCACTGAATACTTCAAATCTCGTCCCATACAGGTAATGCCTTCTTACCTTAAGAGCAAAAACCACCGCGGCTAACTCTAGATCATGAGTCAGATAGTTGACTTCATGCCTGCGCAACTGTCTTGAGACATAGGCGACCACTCGCCCGTCTTGCATCAAAACACATCCAAGTCCATGCACGAACGTATCACAGTACACGTCAAACTTTCGCTCCGGGTCAGGTAGAGCCAACACCGGAGCTGAAGTCAACCTTATTTTCAGTTCCAGGAAACTAGCTTCACACCCTTTGGTCCACTTGAATTCCTTTCCCTTGCAGGTCAACTTCGTTAAGGGCAAAGCTATCTTAGAAAATTCTCAATGAACTTCCTATAATAGCCTGCTAGTCCCAAAAAACTGCGAACCTCAATCACATTCATCGGCCTCGGCCATCCAACCATTGCTTCCACCTTCGTAGGGTCTACCGTGATTCCTTCCTCCAACACTATGTGTCCCAGAAGCTGGATCTTTGACAGCCAAAACTCGCACTTAGAGAATTTCGCATACAGTTGCCTCTCCTTCAGAATTTGCAAGACAATCCTCAAGTGCTCGACATGCTCTCTTGATTTTTTGAATAAATTAGGATGTCGTCAATGAACACCACCACAAACTTATCCAAAAACTCATGGAAGATCCTGTTCATGTAGTCCATGAACACCGCAGGTGCATTGATCACTCCAAACGGTATCACCAAATACTCATAGTGACCATACCGCGTCTTGAACGCCATCTTAGGTACATCTTTGTTTGTCACCCTGATTTGGTGGTATCTCGATCTCAAGTAGATCTTCGAGAACACTGCGGCTCCTCTCAACTGGTCCATCAAATCGTCAATTCTCAGAAGTGGATACTTGTTCTTGACCGTTACCTTATTCAGCTGCCGATAGTCTACACATATCCTTATGCTTCCGTCTTTCTTTTTCACCAAGAGCACTAGTGCTCCCCACGGTGACACACTCGATCTCACAAACCGTTTATGTAGCAAGTCCTCTACTTGCTTCTTGACCTCTGCTAATTCTACTGGTGACATCCTATAAGGTACCACAGAAATTGGGCTTGCCCTTGGAATGAGGTCAATAGGAAATTCTATCTCTCTCTCTGGCGGTAACTCAGAAACGTCTTCGGGAAAAACTTCCAAGGAATCCCTCACCACTGGAATATACTCTGGCTTCACCATGCTCTCGGCCTCCATTGAGAACATAACCATAAAGGCCTTGGCATTTACAGTGTTGTCCCACGCTCCCTGACTCATAAGCCTTGGAACCTTTGCCATTGTTGTATCGAAGATTAAAGTCTTTTCCTTACAGTCTAACAGTACATGGTTGGTAGCAAGCTAATCTATTCCTAGAATCACATCCAGCTGAGAAAGAGGTAGACATACAAGTTCACCTCAAACTCCCAGCCGTGCACCATTATCGGGCATCTCAGACACACTCATGACGTTACAACCGGCTTACTCGTAGGGGTAGTTAGCACAACATTACATGGCAGTTTGGCCACATACAGATCCAGACTCTTCACACAATCCACAGACACAAAAGAGTGCGTAGCACTCGAGTCAAACAACACATCAAGCAGTCTGCCTTTAATTATACATTTACCTCGGATCAGCTTCTCAGATTGTGAAGCCTCTGCCCCAGTCATAGCAAAGACTCTCCCAGGAATACTCGGCTTTTGCCCCGTACTCGGCCCTGCACTTCCTCTTGATTCAGGTCGCTGAGCTGTACTTGCATTGCCGCTCTTCCTAGCGGCCCAGCACACATTAACAGTGTACCCCAGCTTTTCACAGTTGTTACAAGTTATCTTCTGCTGTGAACAGTCTTTCACCATGTGTGGCCCTCCACACCTGAAGCACTTGAGCGGCCCTTTGAAAGAATCTGATCCCGAGCCACTCCCACTGCTCTTCTCTTGGGTAGAACTCCCTTGGGATTGAGAGTTGTTCGAACCCAAATACGGTCCCTTTGAAAACCTTGGGGGTCTTCTATCATGTCTCAAGGGGCTAGCTCCCCTAGTGTCCACTGTCTTCCCCTTGTGTTTGCTTCAAAGATTCTACTCTTGCTCACTAGAGTGGGTAAGTTCGTCAGTTGGAACACACTGACCGCGGCTTGGATTTTTGACCTCAATCCGTTCTCAAACTGAGAACACAATTCTTCCTCTTCATCACCATGCTGGTAATGAGGCCAGTACTTCATCAGTTCTTGGAATCTAGCTGCATACTCTCCTACGGTCATACTTCCTTGCTTCAGCTCAAGGAACTCTCTGACCTTCTGCTTCCTCAGATCTCAGGGAAAGTAATTCCTTAGAAAGATTGCCTTGAAGGCCTCCCACTGAATGTAACCACCCCCTTGTGGCAATGTCTGACCGGCAAACCTCCACCAGTCTTCCGCCTCCCCACACAACAAGTAAGTGGCATAGGTCACCTTGTGCTCTTCTCGGCATCCCATCGCGTTAAAGACTTTTTTCCATGTCAGCCACCCACCTCTAGGCTACTTTGGGATTAAATCCTCCCTCAAACTTCGGAGGATCATGCCTAGTAAAGGCAGACAATCCTCGGTGCTCAGCCAGCTCTCCACCTTGATTGTGCACCAAGGCCTCCAGCATTGAGCTATGCGTTCCATGGGGTCATTAGTGCCCCTAGCTCCTCTACCTCTACCAGACATGATTCAGCTAAGCTAATCACAATTCAACAGTCACATCTTAGTATATCAGATCAATTCATACATTGTAATTCAGGCAAACAAAACAATCAACACTTAACCTTGGACGTCTCAGCTCGATACCCCAGTCTGGTTGGATGAACTGCTCTGATACCAAAATTGTAATATCTTAACTTTAATTTCAAATAAATAATAATTTCACAAATTTGAATAATAAATGTTTCATAAAATATTTAAAAAATAAGCGAAGGGTTACAAATTTTTCATCAAGTCACTGCTACAGGACTAGTTCCAATACAATGGTTTCAAAATAACATCTAAGTCCTATAGCAGTCCATCCGTGAAGACCTACTCACAAATTTGACCTTGGATTGAAGACCCACTCACAGATTTGACCTTGGAAACTTCCTCGCACAGATTTCGGCCTAAACACAGAGGTTAATTTCGTGAGAACCCCAGACATCACCCAAAAACAGAGAAAGGGGAGGAAAAACAAAACCCTAACCATTAAAACTCACCTCCAAGCGTCCCCAACACGGATCCAACCTTCAATCTAACTCATGAACGACTTTGGGGGAAATTTAATCATTGGAGAAGGGTTTGGGGTCAAGAGAATCAAAGAGATTTGGGAGGAAATTCGAGAAATAACCCTTAAATCCCTAAACCCCTCTTTTAAAACCCCTCTAATCGCGACACTCTTGCTACAACAACAATTCTCGCTGCAGTGAGGCATCTCTCGCTGCAGCAAAGTCCTCTGTCGCCACAGTGAAAATCTCAGACGAAACTGCATCCTGGTTTCTGCAGAATCTCACTACAGCGAGACTCTTTCGCTACAGCGAGTCTGCATCCATAAATGCAGTCCCCTCTGTCGCTCTCTCGCCACAACGAGAATACCTCGCTACAGCAAAAAGGCGACCGTTTTGCCCTTTTTTTTCCAGGGCCCTCTCGCTACAGCGAGATTCTTTCCCCGCAGCAAGAGCCTCTGCACTTAAATTCTCAGCTTATTTCCAGTCCAACTCAGTCACACACACACAGACATAGACACACACATATATACACTCAACACCTTTATTACGCAGTCAAATGCAATTACCTCATTTCCATTTCATCGTTACGCACTTAAGTGCAATTCTGACATCCATTCAATCCGCATACACGTATAATTACTGATAATTAATATTACCAAAATTTAGGGTGTTATACTTCCTATTTTACAAAGACATGCTTCTTTTAAATGGTGGAATCAATATGATGCATTCTATACTGAGCCGCTTGGAGTAAATAACTAGTTCTATATGCATCTCCAATTTCTCAGAGTATCTGATCCAAATACTTTAAGATTTCTCAATTAGAAATCACAAATTTTAGCTTTCTTAGCAGGTTACAATTCAAAAGAACTTATGAAAAATAACTTGAAAGATGCTCTTCAATTACTCTAGAAAGAAGATGAGACAAAATATTCATCTTCCACAAAAGAGTCAGATAATCTTTACCAAAATGAAGATGATTGTTTCGGTATAGATTTAGGAAATTTATAACTGGTACTGTGGAAATAGTTCATGTTAAATAACCAGAACTGTAGAAACAATATTTTAATGTTTCTATATAAGTAGTCATCGACCATGTTGTGAGACACCCTTTGATTTACATATTGAGTGAGTGTTTAAGAGAAAGAATTGTTGCTAAGATATCTTCTTTGTAAGCTTTTCTTTCAAAGTTCTTTAAATAATAATATTTTATGTATTCAATTTTTGTCTTTCTCTTCTCCCTTTGAGCTAGTTTTGTTCAGATTACCGTTGTCCAGCTTCCTTCCTTTCTCCCTCTGTCAGATTAGTGTAATTATATGTACTTATTGTTATGCTGATTGATTAGAGTTACGTAGACTTGAACCATGTGAATTAGTTATATGTTGGAATATAAAAGTTATGTAATTGCCGAATAAGGAGTAGTGCGGTTGTTGTACTGTATGATGATGTTGATTCAATGCAAAGTGCAGTGTGAGTTGAATAATGATTATTATATGTGTTGAGTGTTTGGATAAATTAAAAAATTTGATAAAGGATTGGTAGTATTTCATTCAGGAGAGAAATTTTAGAGTTTGGGTGCAGGGTGTCTCGCTCAAGCGAGAGTAGATAAGATTGCCTCAGTTGTAACCTCGCCCAGGCGAGAAAGAATTTTGCTTAGGTGAGAGGTGAGCTCTCTGGACCCAATCTCATCCAGGTGAGATGTATCTTGCTTAAGCGACGTGTTTCTTGCTCAAGCGAGAACTAGCTCGCTTAAGCGAGAGTGAGCTACTAAATTCTCGCCCAGGCGAGAGCAAAACTCGCTCAAGCAAGAATTAGCTCGCTTAAGCGAGAACGTATGCGCTAGAGGGATATTTAAAGGGCCATAGCACCCATAAACTTTATTTTCTCACCAGACAACTTCTCTCTCTCATTTTCTCTCTATTCTCTCTCCTATTATCCTTAGCAAAAACCTTCCTGAAATTGAATTTTTCTCTGATCAAATTGAGATCTTCTACCTCATCAAGATATACGTGAGTTTTTAGAGCTCAGTTTTTAGTTTTTACCTTGTTTCTTCTCTCTCTTTCTCAAGAGGCTTAAATCGGGTTGTGCTGAGTGGATTTGAGTCGTTCAAACCGTATTTCAAACACAAACGATCAATCTATCTTTGCGGGGCTCATTAGGAGTACGATCTTGGAACTTATTACAGGTAAAGGGAGCTTATCTGAGTTGGTTCATTTGTTTAGTAAATATGAAGCTATTTATGAATTTAATTCTGATATATGATAAATCCACATTTTACTATATTTTTAGCCTAGTTTTTGTTAGCAAATAAAGAGTTCAATAGTAAACAAACTTGAAAATATCATAAAAATTACATTAATATTCAAAATTGTATAAATAATTTAGAATTTTAGATTTTATTCCAATTCTGGACAATTTTGCTTAAAAAGACTTACTTTTGTGCAGAAGCTTGAGCTGAAGATGTTTGAGTTGAAGATTGAAGTGAAGAAAGTAGAGGAATTGAGCTTAAAAGATAAAGAATCAAGTGTTATGTGTTGGGCGTAGCCACTTTGAGTGCATAGAGTTAACACTTTGAAGAAAAAAATCCATGAAGACTAAGAGAGTAGCTATTTCAAGTGTTCAGAGTAGCTACGCAGTATGCGCGTAGTCACTCCAGGTGCTGAGAGTAGCTACGCCCAAGGCTAATTCAGAATTGCACAATGCGCGTAGCTACTTCAAGTGCTCAGAGTAGCTACGCAATTGAGCGCGTAGCCACTTCAAGTGCTCAGAGTAGCTACGCAGTAAGCGCATAGACACTCTAAGTGCTGAGAGTGTTTACGCAAAAGTAACCGAATTTTAAATATCAGTCCTAAGTGTCAACTTTGGACGATTTGAGTTCCTAATTCAGTTATAGGAGCTTCTAGAAGACCTTTCATGCTATAAGCCTGAGAGATTAAAGTGTGGAAGTGGAAAAGGCGGAAAAAACATTATAAATAGAAGTTAAGAGTTCAGAATTGGAGGTTTTTTGCCATTTTTTGTTTTCTTTTCATTTTTACACCTTAGGAGAGTTAGAGAGGGAGATTGGGGGCGACTTCCAAGCTCTGGACCTTGAGGAATCAGGCTGGGGATTGAATTTATGAAGAAATTCTACAGCTCCTCTTCTTCTACTATTTCTCTCTCTTTTTCTTTTAGGAACATGTTTTGATTTCTTTTTGTTAGGGATCCATGGATCCAGATTTGATATTGTGATGTAATTTTGGATCTGGACCTTGAGGTTTTGATTGAATTGAGTATGTGATTCTGTTCTTAATGCAGTTGTGAACTAATCCTTCATTCAATTGAACCTAGAGGAATCTTCATCAATAGAAATTAAGTTTATTTCTCAGATCTGAATCATATGCCTAGGTTATTGAGATCTTAGGAATAAGTATCATAATCTAGTAATCCTATAATTTCCAGAACTTAATGTAATATTTGATTGAATTTCACCTAAAGAATTAGGGAGATTTAATTAGGTATTAGGATCAATGAGGCAAGAAATTGTCCTTTGGTTAAAGAAGTGAAATTGATTATCAATCAATTAAAATTCTTAAGAGTCCAGAACATTATTACATTGCAATAGAAAATCTGGTGAAATGATTCCTAACTATTTTCCACATAGCATTTTAATATAAAATTCGTATTTCTATTTTGCTGTATTTTTCAAATTTCTGCACTTTATTGTTTTTGTTTGTTAAATGATTCAAAACACTCCAAATTTGTTTGGCTCAACTAGTTATTAATTTGTGAAGTGGTAATTGATAGACCTAATCCCTGAGGATGATACTTAGGACTCACATTGATTTCCAATTTTATTACTTACTACAACTACCTAGTACACTTACTAGTTAGTTCTCCAATTGTGTAACAATATAGCTGAGAAATAAGTAGTTGAGTGACCAAATTCTAGAATAAAACTTGAAATAGTATAACTGAGACGACTTCACTGTTGACTTGTGAACACTTAGAATGTTGTAAAGAAAAGTGATACATTAAAATATAATGATATATATGATGTTAAGAATATTAAAGTATGTTGAAAAGTTTTATTTGAGCTGTAAGCTACTTAATTTTCTTTATTGTGTAAATGCACAATGCAATATTGTTGAGACTGTGAATATATATATATATATATATATATATATATATATATATATAAAGCTGGCTGAAAATATACATTGCTGAGTTGTTAAAATTATGTGCTTTGCTATACTGCTGAAGTTGAAAATAAAAATTTGCTGT